CAAGCAATGTTGTTGAATTCCATGAAACAGTCTTACACCAATTCTTTAGTTTTTCATAATTATAAGACACGTAAGTATCTTTTAAAGCACCACAAACTTGGACCAGTAAAAGCATTTGTTACTGTAGAAACATATCGCCCGGAATTAGGACAAGACTAAGCCCTACTAAAGTACGTGGAATGAAGACCGTGTAAACTTTGGAATACTGCATCTCGTTGAATATCAATGGTGCTTTCCATATACCCTGCGTATAGCGATGTCCTCAGTAAAATCTTCCTATCCGTCAGGATTTTTATCCTTTGACTAATCGAAAGAATTTTCTTTCGCAAAGTAGTCGCTGTGTATTTTCCTTCTCGCGCCAAGTTACAAGATCTGAAAACACTTTCATATTGTTCACTGTATAAATTGGCCCCGTGTGTGCAACGGACGTACTTTCTTCATCCACAACTTTTCCCAGAGTGCCCTTGGGTTTACACGAAAGGTGATTGGACATTTTGAACGCAGGGTAATATATAGATTTAGCCAGGGCTCAAAGCGAAGCTCCTACTACCTCGAATTTATAATTTAAATCAAACAATTGTAAACTTATATTCCACAAAGCAGTTAACTTTAGAGCACATTCATGTGACATTTTGACGGAAAGGCTAAGTAATTTTAGGGAAAAAAGATTTGCAAACAGTCCAAGCTAACAGCGAAATAAATGTTACGTCGACTTGATAGCCTTATATGTACACCTAAAAAATAGCATAGCCATAATGGTTCTTGATCACAGTACATTAGGAAACAAATCAGGCCGAATTTTTTGCGTTCGATAAGTTTACTTTACAAAATCTTGCCAACAAGTCTGGGGACGTGTAAGCCAACCTTTTATACCTTTTATACATCACATCTGAGGTGAAATAGTACCATGCTAAGGCGCTGCTTTTATCATACAGACCTCTGACAGAATGCAGTATTTCACAATTTTGCAATACAAATTGCACTCATTCAATATTCAGGACGATCGAAGCACGCGTTAGCGAAACCGTTAAGAAAAATTTCCAAAATCACCTATACGGCGAGCCGGTTCTTACTTTTGACAAGCGCCAAAGTCGACTGTTTAAATTAAGATTAACACAGTTATACGCTTCAACATAATGGCTTTATAACGATGTGTAATCTTCAAAAGCGTTTGATCGGTGATACGCGCGGCATTTTGACTACTCCTGCAAGCTATGTTCATGAGCGACTGAAATAAACGGCACAACAGCGATGAAAATTGCAAAAGAGACTAGTAACAATCAATAAAAGGAAAATAATTCGGTGAAACATATACAGAGACAACAATTTTCATTCACACGCGAAGACAAGTATTAAAGTGTCTCTGAAAATCCTTGTTTATGTTTTAAGCCGGTTTCCCGGTTTTTGCGTTTTTCAAAGATGAACTCGAGGCTAGAAAATCGCACAAAGCTTTCTTTTACAGCCAGAATTATAACTAAATATTCTTTGGAACGTTTTCTTTCTATTTGAGGTGAGAAAATGTCTGAAGGTTTTTTAAAGTTCTATAAGCTTATAATCAAACCTGATTCTCGATCGGTCAGATCATTGTCTCAAATCTTAGGGGCCGTGGACATATTCACTTTCCCCCCGCTTAACGTCAACTGGACGTTTAGGGGGGGAGGGGGTAAGGCAGTGGACGTTAGTGCGGGGCATTTTTGGACAAAAGCAAACTGATGCACGTTCCAATATGTAGCCTTTCTGGATTCTCATCGTGAGAACTCTTAAGCCGACTTTCTTCCAATGAGAGGATTTCTTCTTCTCCTTCTTTTGCAGCTATATAGGTTTCCAGTGCAGCTGAATCTTTACGAAGCTCTTTCCATTTTTCTTGTGCTGATCGAACAACACTTTCCCTCGAGGCTTGACCTTTGTTTCTCCTTACAAAACGTTCTATAAACTTTTCATATTTTGATTTTGGGTCTTTGTATATTAAGTTCCCTGCACGTTTATTATCTTTTGCAGATGTCCCGAACAGGGTAAGTTGCTTTGACATCTCCAACCAAAAAAAGAAAAAAACACGTGCTTTCAGAGTAACGAAGGAGTAACGCATACGTGAAGTAGAAAATGGAATGCCGCTGGCCAGTAGGTTTAGTATGTTGTTTAATAACATGGCGGCCGACATGGCGGTCTTGTACCAGCGATTCTGGCTTTGACCTCTGAATACTGTAGTGTAGTAGGGAATCAAGAGCATTGACAGGAAAAAGCAGTTATGTAGATTTTGCAAGAAAACAGATAGGACAAAGCATAATTCGATGTATGAAGTTTCTACCACGTTTTAAAACAGTAAATCGGTGACATCTTCACGTAAAAAGTGCATGTCAGTATTCGTACTGGAATGCAGTGCAGTGTACGGTCACGTGATTACCAAATTTCCTGGGATGGGTAGATTTACTTACCCATGGTGCTCCGCGGGCACGCTTCGCGCGCCAGAGCTCCGCTATGATCTGATTGGCTTACGTATTGTTATGGATGACATATTATCTTCCATTTGAGAATTTGCGCCATTTTAAAATCGTTTTGCTTTCTCAACGACGCTTCGCACTGCTGTGGCTTTTAATCTTAGATTCTTATTCCTTTGCTGCGGTTATTTTAGTCCTTTTATTTCGTCAAAGTCATGAAACGTGGTGTACGTTGTAATTCGACGTATCTGGCGAACCGTAATTACGGTAAAGGCGAATGGCGAGATTCGAAGTCTTTGAATTGAAGCATCTCACGGTATCCCACAGACGCTGTGTCACAAAATAGCGAAGTGTTGAGCTATGATAAAGTCTAAATGGTAGGTATTAAAGTGATTTGATTCTAACTGCAGTATGCTTATTTATACAGCCCTTAGCATTTTCTAAATAACGGCTGGCACAACCGGCCGCACAGGCATACTTCTTAACTTCTGCTGAGAGCTTCCAAGTTTTTGAATTGTCTGTGATGGTTTCCAGTTCACTGAGAACAGCAAGCTCATGCCATCAACGAGAAACTTTTTACGACTTGTCTAGATACCCGGCAGCCGGGAACTGTTTTTAAAAAACTAGATACCCGGCAGTCAGAAATTTTGACCAATTTTCTCCAAATAGCTCGTTTAATTCCTCTAAGAACATAAGATATTTGTTTAGAAATCTCAAGGGATTATAAATTAAAATATTGCCTTGGGTTAAAACTAGAAGCGACTGTCGAGTTTGGGCATAGAGTGAAATCTCAATGTTTTCGACACTTGCAAAATATTCAAGTTCTGACATACTAAGTCAACTCCCGATGAATATCCACAGAAATTATCAACGAAACCTCACCAGAGTATTTAGTATTTGTTCAGAAATGCCAAGCAATTCTAAATAAAGGTTTCGTATTGTTGTGGACAAATTCTCCGCGCCTGCATTAAAAAGCATATTCTTTAGCATCTTGGCTCACGGGTACGGTTTTCAAAATACTAAATGCCCAACAGTCGGAAATTCATGTCCAATTTACACGAAATATCTCTTTGAATTTGTGTAAAAACATAAGGAAGTTGTTTAGAAAACTCAAGCGATTTCAAACACTGCCTTGGGCTTGAAGTAGGGGCAACCGTCGAGCCTGGGCATAGAGTGAAATGTTCATAGTTTCGACACTTCAAAAATATTCAAGTTCTGACACACTGAGCGTGACGTGATTAATCAGCTCTCGGGTGATCCACAAACATATTATTGTCCAAACCTTCCCTAAGCATTTAATGTTTGTTGGCATAAATCCCAAGCGATTCTCAAAGGAAGGTTTTAGTTTTTTAGTGCAGGAATTTTTCTGACTGCCAGGTATCTAGTTTTTTGAAAACAGTTCCCGGCTGCCGGGTATCTAGACACGTCGAACTTTTTAAAGGATAGGTACAGTGCCCTAAGAAATTTAAGGTCATAAACTGAGACTGGGGAAATTTGTCACCCGATAAAAGAGCAAACTCATAGTTTATTATATTTGACAATGTGCTATATTTCCAACAATTTATTGTAAGAAGCGGAACAAGTTAAACTTATAAACAAAATATTGCTGTTTCGGTAGGACCGTAAGGCAGACAAAGTTAAATTAGCAATGTTGCTGTAAATATCTCTTTGTAAATAATATCTTGTGTACTAAAGAATCGTAGGTGAGGTTATTTATACATTTTTAAATCATCCCAGAATTTGCTCATTTTTTCAGGGGGTTGCAGGGTATTTGTTTCGTTCAAGTATTTCAGGGGCCGCAGAATTTCTGCGGCATGAGTTTCACAGGCTGCAGGATTTCTGCGGCATGAGTTTTTACAGACAGAATTTCTGTGGCATGGGTTTTCACAGGCCGCAGAATAGGACAATTGCTCGATGACGTCATTTTACTACATCTACCAGAATCCTTGAGTTTGTTGTTTTCTTGTGAAAATTAAGGCTATTGTTCTTTAATCCTCAGCGGGATTGATTAAATAACAAAGCAAAACCGAAATGAATTCTGGTAGTTTTAGTCAAATATCGTCACTGCTGTATTCACTCATCAACTGTGTTGGTCACAGAATAATATGTGGATTAAGCCAAGTAATTATTTTGGAAGAGGTGACATTTTTTTTTTTTTCGGAAGTGCTCCTGTTGCAGGAATAAAACAGTATTTTTAGTTGGTCTTTAAATGGCGTCCATGAAAACTCAATGGTTTAAACATTTTTTAAATACTTGCAGACAAAAAGTATAGATTTCTGTTAGAAAACCCTATTTTGGAAAAACGCAAAATGTTTTGGAAAGCTTTTAATTGGTTCCTCACTAGGCAATGTTTGCAAAAGGTTCGTAAAGTTGTAATAACCAGACGTTTGGAGTTAAAATATTAATGAAAGTACTCTTCCATCCAGGATTGTTGGATATGAGATGGTTAACTTATGGCTACTTACCATCTCATATCCAACACTCGCTTAGGGAATAACTGCTAAATATTACATTTGTCTTTCACATTTGCTTATGACTGAGGTGGTTCAGTCTTTCATTGTGGGT